TAATCATTTCTGATCAAAACAAAACAAACCCGATCGAAAAACGTTTTGTTTTGATGAAGTTATGGGACTTTTACTGAAAGCACCACCACATAGACCGAATTCACGGTTGATTTTTCTAACATTTCTAAGCCTATAAGTTTCTTACTAGATGAGCTAACGGGATCAATCAATCGTCATTTTGTAGAGCGTTTTTTACTGCATCTTTTCTTCATAGAGACAAATTTACAACCACTTGTTTCACTATAGGAAAATTTATTATACAAATCGAGTCAGGACTTCTGGCCCACCCTTTATACACATAATCCAGTTCAAAATATCGAATTATGTCAAATGTACCCGTGGTATTTGTTTCGAATATAATTATAATAGAATATAATTACAGAAAATAATTATGATATAGTATTTTTCTATGGCATGTTCATAAACACGGAAAAGAAGAAGAAGAAGAAAAAAAAGATCAACGTATTGTCTTTCAACAAAATGTGTTCATTTAATTTTTTCTAAAAAACTGTCATAAATCAATTTTCTTGAATCACTCAATAAATTTAAAATAAAAATAATATGATCATTTGTGCCGATGAATATTATTTTCAAATAATTTTTTTTTCAGTTTTTGATAATAGTGGGTGGCTAGGAAAGACTAACTCGAATCGAAGTCTAGAATTAAAGAAAATCCCTTTTGTTTAACTTGAAGATAAAGAGAAAAATTTTGCTTCTACAATATTCAGATATAATTGAATCTGACTACTATTTCATAAGACCATTTGAGATCGTTAATTATAATGAAATATCTATACATAATTAAACAAAGTTGACAAAAAAAAAAGTCAATTTTCTATTGAAATTTTTCAATGAGATTTTAGAAAAGAATTATTAGCATGTACTCTTATATTAACAAAGTAAATATTTTATGTTCATAACTTATTAAATTTATTTAATTCTCATTTATTTTTTCTTCTTCTAGTCTCGTTCATTTTACTCAAGAGTAAAAGAGAATGAACAGTTCTATATATATATTGAAGATGTAGTATTAGATAATCATTAGATATTTATATATTATCTACTTCTGTTTGATATACACGATGATATTACGATTATTACTGTTGTTTCAATAGTCATATTGTCTGTTATTTGCAGAAAAACACAATTTGTATGATGTAATAAATATAAAAAGAAAATAATGATCCTATTTAAGATTATACTATTAGATGAAACACGTACAATTCTCTTTTACTATTATTATTTCTACAAGTAGTTTGTTCATCAATATACTCATTTATTATTATTATTATTATTATATGTATTAGTTGAAATGTGAATGGATGAATGACAAAGAGAAAGAAAAAACTAATCTAACATGTTCATTTTTACCAATATTATATTCGTCTATTTCAATTATGAACAATTTATAGTTTGTGTACAATCGATAAGTAAGCAACATATTTTCAACGATTTAATGTTTTGAACATTTTTGAAAATTCTTAAAAGTCAATGAACATTTTGTTGTTGTGTTTTTTCAATAAGAATAAATAATTGTAAACGATTACTGGAAACAAAACTTTCGAAAACAAAGTTTTTTGACAAAAGAATAGAACAAGAAAGTACTATCCATTTCAAACTATAAAGACCAGAAAGATTTTCTGAATAACTTTTGAAGAAAAAACATTAGAAACCTATGGTTTTCAGTTAATTATTTCTTATACTAAGATTTCACCTGAAGATCTTTGGAGGTGTTCTGAAAAATCTGTCGACGATTCTCTTTGTTTTTGTAGTTCCCGTCGTGTAATCGGATAGAACATCTACTCTTTTGCTCACTCATCAAGTTTCATACAAATTGGCTGAGAAATGAAGGTGCTAGAAGCTTTTTATTTTAGTACGGTCACAGCGGAAAAATTGAATTTTCTGAATAATTCGTCTACTCAAGTTTTCTTAATTCGGACAACAAAACAAACATTGCTGCGAGATTCAACGTGGTCGAAAACCTATGCATCGTGCACTTCTAAGGTTCCCAGGCTTCAGGTTTAGCCGATAGGTAGATCCCCAGAGATTGCCTGTAGTGCTCAAACCACGGTAGTTGGAGACGTGCGCCAGATTGTAGATTGTATACCCACATGCATTTAGAACAGCGCTTTGTTATGTAAGTTTCTGGAACGGCCGGCTCGGACATTTTGTTTCGGAAGATACATGATAGTAGACCTATCGAATTTGGCTTAATTTAGTATAGAATTATACCCCCGAACGTCCTCTTTTATAATCTGAACACCGTAGGTCTCTACTATTTTTCCTTTAAAAATTATTCAAAAAACATTCGTGGTCTGTATATTTTGAAATGGATAGTAGTTGTGATCTTAAGAAAGGATGTTCGCAAGAGACATTATACAGTAGAGAACCATAGCTCAATTGGGATATATATCCTGATCAGAATATATTTAGCAATTTTACAGCGGAAGAAATTTCTGTTATATCCCGATCGGAATATAGATTTTTGAGTAGTGGCTTTTGTTTGAAAAAAAGGTTGCTGACGGGAAAAAAGAATCGAGTGTAGTTTTTTCTCCGCTTTCTCATGGTGATGCCACACTTTTCGTGAACATCATCATTTTTTCGCTAATGAATTTTATTTAAAAAAATCGAATTTATATCCCGATTGGGCTATATGTTTTTTGGTTATATCGTGATCGGGATATAGTTTGATTCAAACGGGATATAGAGCATGATATTTCTACTGTTGTATGTGATAGATGATTCAAACAACGGAATTATCGAGAAAAAGAAGGCAAAAAAAAAAGTTCACTTCTATTCAAATAATCTTAACTCAATTAGTAAGAAAGATGTTATAATAGAAAAATGTTGTTACAGTAGTGCTAATAATTTATTTATTTTAATGTTCATAATTTTAAAACGCGTATTAGAGACATCAAAATAAGGTATTAAAAATTAATTATTTCTCTCATATTTTTTTACTTGAACGTGCAATGAATTATAAAAGAAAAAAAACTGACTACAGTCATCTTATCTAATCTATTTTATAAATGATAAATGACTACTTACTATTTTCCATGAATGATGATAATGTTTGAAATGGTGGTGCTATTGATGTTAACGTTGAAAAAGTTTGTTGTCGATTTTGATCAGTATTTTTGTTAATAATAGGAAATGATTCGGGTATTTTACAAATAGATGGCATTTGATTTAAAAAGTAATATGTTTGTAATATTCCTTCACTATTTGACATTAATAGTATAGGAACAGGAGATAATTTTTTTGCACCTAAAAAGTGTTAATAATCGAAATAAGAGAGAAAGATGTTGTTGTTTTTTTCACGTTGATTGTCAAAATAAACACAAACCTTCTGTAATTTGTAACTGAGAATTTAAACAAAGTGCCATGCCGGTTAGAAAAGATCGATCATTTGAACTTTGTGCTTTAACAGTAGCTCGATATTGATCCCCAAATGTCCAGATATCAAGTGATTCCTAAAAATAAAAATAAATTTTATCAAATTTATATAAAAAATTAAAAAATTTGACTAGTTACAGTTAGTAATTATTTTCTTCTAATTTAAGTGTTTATTTATGTTTGACAGTAATTAAATAGTTAATTAATTTAATTGTAACAAGTGTCATTTTTGCCATTTCTCATTTCAGTATGACTATGTATTAGGTAGATCGGACATACACACACACATAGTCGTCATTCATGTATGAGATATCAAGTTTTACTCTCTTCTTTTTTTCCTTGATCTACCGAAAAAAATTATCGTTCATAAACTGGAACTACAAATGAGCTGACTTTGGCATCTCCCTACGAGTCTTTATTTTGATTTTGTTTTTTTCTAGAATAAAATACACAGCAGATCAACTTCATACTGGTTAGCGTCGAATCTGTATATCATTCGACTGTATTCTATAATACATAAGTAAAGTTTGCTAAAGAGCTAACTCTATTCATTCGATCATCGTCCAAAAATATAGGACTCATTGGCCAGTTTGTAATTAATGATGTACATTTGTCTGATAAAATGTTTATCTCTCCGCCGTTTTTTTTCTTCTTCTTCTGTGTGATTCAGTAGTCTAATTACTCAAAAATAAAACAAAAAGAAACACATTGTCTTATCAAGATTAAAGTTTCGTTAGTCTATACTATACGAACGATAACGATGTAACAAATAAGTACAATGAAATGTTGTTGTTCTCCTTTGACAGATGATTCTTCTGAGAATAGTAGCTGGTGTTACAGTATTAATCAACTTTTCTTTTCTTTTATTTCTATCTCGTTTTGGCTATTTTATCAAACGATAACTAGAAAGTTTATGTAAAGCTGATTGTCTATTTTGTAAGCCTTCAAGCTCCTTCTTTTTCTTGTTAAAGAAATGAACATAAAACACAATAAGCTAGAAAATAATGGAGGCATATAGATCTTCTTGTTATGAACCATTAGATACGCATCACATATACTTGTCACGTATTATCTTGAGTATGCTTACAACAAAAAAAGTCTACTGACGCCATCATCTGGATATCCGGAGTAGTTTGATCATTTTCTTCTTTTTTTTTTTTTATTTGTCTGTGTTATTCATCTCGCAGCCAGTAATAGTAGGAAAGAATAATCCGAATTTTCTATTTTTTTTAACGGTCTGTGAGAAAGAAGAAAACTGAATAAACAAGACACCATTCACTGTGGTCACTATTATTAATGGGAATTAAGGTCAAATAATAAATAAAAAAAAAAAGAAGTCCTCATTTATATGCCATATACTTTAATCTGTTCTTTGTGACAAACGATGGATGAAAATTTGAAACACTATACAACAAATACTATTTGAAGTTAATTGATAGAGAGAGAGAAAAAAGAAGAAAACCACGATCAATAGTATATACCGACAAGTGCCATTTATATGGACAATAAAAAAAAGTTACTGGAATATAATCTCTCATTGTATGACAAACGATAAAAAGTTTCAATTACTCAAGTCATTTCTCTTTAACTCTAAACGGGAATAAAGAGTTTTTCTTCCGTATCGAAGAATAAAGAATATTTTTTTTAATGAAGCTACTAATGAAAACATAATAATTTAATATTCTAATCAGTTTTCCTACTTAAAATCAAAAATGTTGGACATTTTCTCATTCGATATAGTTAGCAAATTTTGCTTTTTGTGTCGACAGACATTTCGTATTTATGCGGAAAATTTTGTTTTTTAATTTTTGTTTACGACCTTTTTTTGAACGTAATGTAAGTGTTTCCCAGATTTGTTGAGCCCAGATTCCCAGAACGCCATGATCTAGCAAACTACTCGTCGTAAAGAAGTTTTGAAAAAGGAACAGTGTTCTACGGAAACTGAAAATTGACCATTGCACGTTCTTTACTCAATTAAAGATCCAAACTCGGCGGTATAAGCTCCATAAGTGGACAAAAACAAATGAAGACTGTTGGACTTAGATTATTATTGTTATTTTTTCTCCAGCATCATTTAGTCAGAGTCTCTCTTTTTCAAATTTCATTCATTGTTCTTTTATCTTATAAGCGGTTCAAAGAGTAAATCCAAGCAAAAATGCAATGCTGAGAGTCTACTGATAGGATCTACTTGGAGCAGTAGATTCAGTCAGAGACAGAGTCTGTCGATATTGCAACTTGTGCGTCGCGCAATTACAATCTAGTTTTGTGTTTCTTTCATCCATTATTACCACCAAAAATTTTTGATTTTTTTGGCTACTGTCTGTATGTCAAAATTCAACTCTAATCATCCGGATCGACTATACTCGAGAACCATGATTTCAATCAAGCGAATACAAATGTCATAATGATCATCATCAGACAAAACTGTCAGTTTTGAGATACAAAAAACGTTCATCAATGATAAACAAACTGTCTTCAACTCATTTTTCACACATTATAATTTGTTTACAGAGAAATAGTCTATGCTATAGCGAATGAAAGAGATGATAGAGAACAAATTTCTAATGTTGGTACGTAAGATATTGCATTCTTGCGTTTAATCGCGTCTTTTTTTTTTTCTTTTTTTCTATAGACAATGGGCAATTTGTTTTTTTTTAAGCAATTTTCTGATTCATTTATCGCGCAATGCACTAATAGGATGTTTTTAACCACTTCACAACTGATCGATTCATCAATTCAGTATCGAAAGTAAGATTTTTCCATATTGAATTATTGTCAATGTTTCGTTTGTTCCATCTTATAGTTTCGAGAGTAGGACAAATTTCAACAGAAACAGCAACAAAAAACCCCGCAGCTATTAGTAGCTATCATCCTTTTTACTATTTATCAAATATGCAGTTTCTTGAATACGGGAAGATATAGCCGATTTAATATTCTATAGTAGAAAGTCTATAAGAGAAGAAAATTGTTCTGTTCAGAATACATTAAAAATAAATTTTTTATCTTTCTATTAGAAAAACAATTTTTGATCAATTCAAATCTATCATTCAAGATTTTTTAATGATGACATATTTTAGTCATACTCTGAAATATTTTAGTCAATCAGTTTAAATTTTGTCATTTGTTTTATAATACTGAAAAAAGAAAAAAAAAGTTCATGAACTGTCCTTGATGATTAAAACAAGGTCTTAATATTATCTTCTCATTTTTCTCTTTTATTTCATTTTCTTCTCTTTTTTTTTTATATAATTCATTTGGGTTCTATTTTTATTTTCATTGACAAGTGAAGTCAACCGAACGTGTACATTTATGTTCATGGTCCCTCTTCTTTTTATATGTATATGTATGTATATTCTCTCTCTATCCGTCTCTCTCTTTCTCTCTCTCTCTCTCTATCACTCAGATTTCATTTTATTTAATGGTAAGTGAAAACAAATGTGTATGTATAAAGAAAAGAGAAATGAGTTACTTTAAAACATTTTTGACAAAGAACTCTACAACCATCTGTTACAAGAGTAATGTAAGTCTTTTCCAGATTCTCAATACATTATGTATTAGCGTACAGAATTTTCGATTACAAAATTATGATGAGAAAGAAAAAGACTCGAAAAAAATGTTAATTTTTAACTGAGAAAATCGTTCAATATGTAGAGATTAACCCTTTAACCCCATATAGCGATCCCGGCTACTGGAATCCAATTTCGTATGTCATATATCTCGAAGACAGAGCGACGGGAGAAAATGTTTTCTTTATAATTCGATAGCTTGTGGAATCTGCTACAAATAACGTGTGGAAAGATTTTGGATTTGATGCTTAACTGTTTTCCTGAAACTTTTCTACAAATGGTCACTTCCAATGATCCATGTGGGTTAAAGGGTTAAGGTCGTTCTTAAAATATGTCTAAGTCCTTTATTTCCACAGAGAAGTAGTCTTAATATTAGAATCAACTTCAGAAAATTTTGTTTTATTAAGATAATAATTGAACAGTCGACCACAATTTAGGATTGTATTTTATCATTTATCTCAAGAATACGTCTTTTTTTTATAATATACGTTGACAGTTTCATAACCTTGTTTATCACTTGATAAAAGTAAAGATATTTCTCATCGTTCGTTGACGATTATTCTAACTTTATTGAACCAATAACTCTTTCATGGGGGCAATCTCACATTTCAATTAACAGATTTCATAACTTTTTTTCATACAAAAGTGATTTCCGAACAATTATTCAATTAAAAAAAAAAGAAGAAAAGATACATCAAGGTAAATATAGTGGAAAAGGATAAGTAGTTTTTAAGTATTTGACAGCTCATGAATGAGTGATAGAAGTCTAGAAATATTTTTCTTTTATATTATTGTTTGAACATGCTGAGTTTATTTGTCTAACCAACAGAGCGATACATAAACAAATAATGACATGAAGGTGGTCAGTTTGTATGTCTATAGTGCAAGATTGAATCATGCACACTATTGTTACCGTATATCCAATTAATAATTTTATATAGTAATAGAAGATGAATCAAGTATGTACTTCGTCTCGACTTGAGACTTTATGTGGTTTATTAACTTTTAATATATTTCACACTAGGAACGAACGCATAATTAAGTATTAAGCAGATAAATAAAATTTATAGTTGAAAATTTTTCGTAGATCAAATGATGAACAACTTTTTTCTTTCTTTTGTACAGTAAGATAAGAATGATCGGGTAACCTAAAAAAACATTATGGTACATATTTTGTTTTCTTCCTCTTTTTTTTTTTTTTTTTTATTTTCTACGGGGAATTTGAAGAGTAAAAACAATAGGATATACGTTATGATCATAAATGGCAGTTTTTGTTCTAGGACAGTTGCTTAAGTGTTTTCTTTTGTGTTAGATCGAGTATTCATTTCTTCTTTTTTCGTCTTATTCTATCCATCCATGAATAATTCCAATCAACACAACGGCCTATTTTTAGTTCAAGTGCCATTCTCGCTATATAGACATGCAATGAAAATATTGAACATGTACAAAATGAATATCAAAAATCTCTATGTTCATCAATTGTTTATGGATATAGAATGGTATAATAAATGATTTTTCTTTTTATATTCTATGAATGTCGATCAACAAACTGAATATGCATATGTCGAGGATTTGATACATATGATAAGAAAGAATAATGATTAAAAGAGGATTATGGATTATTTTACACATATATACACAAGTTACATTGATTTTGGCGATCTTTTCTACGTTTTAGCTAAAATTTCTCAAAACTTAGTGGTTAACTAAGCGAAAAATAAGGTCATTATCTAATGTGACCTTATTTCTTTTTTTTTTATTAATGTCATATTGCTGCCGCTTTTGCATCTCATTCTGTATCCGTATTTTATTTTGAATGAAGGTTAGTTGAACTCTGACATCATATAGATCAACGAAGATCAACTTTTAGAACTTGATGTTTAAAAATGTTAAAGTATTCAAATTAATTTTTTAATCTAACATTTATATACGTACGATATATAATCACAGATACACACGCACACACAAACAAAATGAAAAATGACACTATCCAGATATATTAATAATATAAGTGATGGTGATTGTGACAAAAAATTTAAGTCACCTGTAAAATGTCTATAATTAAACAAAATGTTTCATTATATATCTTTTTCTAGACTACATTTAGGATTAATTAGTTGTTTAGTCTATGACAATTGGGAATATAATAAGAGTCATCATTATCCGAGAAAAGTATAGACAGACAAATAAGTCTCTAGATAAGTTTTTTGGCCCTGAAGCACAATTGATTCAAATATATATTGTCGACTATCCTATACATATCATTCTAGTATAAGTTAAGTTCATTTAATTATTCTAATTCTATTTTTCTCTCTATCTCTATCTATTACATATAATTATCGTCATCATTATTACAATTATGTCGAAGAAAAAAAGAAGAAGAAAGAACTAGTTACTGTAAAAAGAGAAAAGAGGTCAGGGCCATTTTCTGGTGATGAACAATTCTTTTGTACATACACACATACTCACATACACATAAATATATAGTGTTCACCAGTTTATCTTATCATATATATATATATATATATATATATATTGCATGTATTTGTTGCTTCAATCATACACACGCACGCGTATACATAAAGACACAAAAAACATTTCAATTGAGCCTATGGCAGGAAGAGATGATCCACACGTTTTACAAGTAAAAGAAGTTTAATAGCACAAAATAAATATTTTACATCTTGACTGAATTATATTATCTACATGGTCATCTAAAAGGGCGATCATCATCATCACTCTTTTTACTTTTTTTTTTTTTTTTCTTCATTCTAGATCTTCTATTCTGTTTTTCTATTGTTATCACATCTTTCTTCACCATGCAATCATGATATTATTGTTGATGTTTATATGATATTTCAAGATATGAGAAAACAATTGTTTTGTCAGTAGTGTGTGAATAATGAGTAGTAGGGAGTATGGTTGTTTTTCAAACAAAAAGAAAATGATGATTACCATTAAGTGACGTACCTATATCCCGTTGAGCGGCTGACTGACTAGTCGATGGTGTCGAGTCGTACAATAAGCAGCTGCTAAAATCACGTACGATATTACTTCTTTTTTCTTTTTCTCATCTTTATGAATTCAAGAATGAACTTTTTTTGCATAAAAATAAATAATTGACAAAATTTTCTACTCTGATTAATTCATTTTTACATTTTTTATCATTGAACTTGCTTTATAGAAAATAAATATCTTTAGAGATATAAAAGGGATAATATATCTATCTAATATCTTCTAAATGTCCTTCTGCAGTCAATTGTTTTTACTGGAGAATGCAAACTAATATAAAATAATCAAGAATAGAAAGTAGAAATGTTTGAGTTATAATGTTATTGTTCATAATTCTTATCAATCTTAAATATCATAATAACAGTTCATTTCCTCATACTAAAAAATGTCGAATTTTGAACTTTACGTTTATGTTTTATTTTGCTTGTCAATACACATCTCTGAAAATAGCTATCGGATATGAGATTGACCGATTTTGTTGTACATAGAGAGGAAAAAACTATAAATTCAATTATACGAAACACCATTATGTAATAGTAATAGAGAGGGAGAGAGAGAAGAAAAAAAAAGGCTCAAAAGAAAACCATGAGCAATTAGTCGATTGGAATAAATGAATAGGCGAGGAAATTAGAATGATATAACATGTACAATAAAGAGAAAGATAGGAAAAAACGTATAATAATATTTATTAAGAAAAGAAATTTGTATATTTTTTTTCTCTACACTGTTTTTATAGTAAGGCAATGAGAAAATCATTATCATAATAAAAGAGGAAACAAAAAACTGACTCTGTATCGTGAACTGGTTAGTATATCAATAGAATAGAAAATAATGCAAGGACACATTCAATTTACTCGGATATATTTTATAAGTAATAAAAATGTTGTTGTATTATTATCAATTACATCAGATGATACATTTCTAGAGAAATAAAAACCGTAAATGACAGTGAATTTGTGTTGATTACATATGATGTATATATATATAATGGTCAACAAAGAATTAAAAGAAAATGACGACAACAGCGAAGAACAGTTTTGATGAGATGATAGTTAAATTACATAACGACTACTTCACATATACACTAAGTATATGTATGTAATGGAAGTTTATGAAACAGAGATTAAGAAAGACGTTTGCTGTTACTGTTAGGATGTCGACTCATAAATGAATGGGGAAAAAAAAAAGAAAAACGTTTTTTTTTTTTTTGTTTCTGTTTCGAGAAGAGGAAAGTTGTGTTCATTAAATAGTTTAGTTCAATAATGTAGCAAACAATAAATGTTTGTATATACCTTTAATATTTTTGTACATGTGAGTCAATTTATTGATTTATTCTTTTTCAATCTACACAAAAATATGCCCACATTCGAAATACGAATTTGAAGAAGATAATATAATTTTTCTCTTCTATATGACAAAGGAGAAACTTTGTAGGAAAATATGATGATAGAGCACGTTTCAGAAGATAAAATAAATGTAAAATTTTATGATTCAATTCAAGTTATCTATTATTTTTATCGTTTATGTTCTTTTACATCAAATAGAAGAAATATCTTTCGCCATTGTTTGAAAAACAATCGGTGTTTAGAATAAAACAAAAAAAAAAATAACCTTTTCTTGTTTGAATGCAAAACTTCATAAATATTAGTCAATCGTCTATACTATTAGATAGTTGTTTCCTTGAAAATTTTTATTTTAAACGCATGGTTTACTTTTGATCTATATATAAGATGAAAACAAACAAATGTCAATTGACACGTTTCATTTTTATTTAATGACTACAATCCAATATTCATTTGAGTTCTTGTTAAAAAATCATTTTTTCAATATTGAATAAGAGGTACATTCAATGTTTTGTTGGTGTTTTTTTTTTTCGTCTGTTTTAAGCGTAAAATGATGAGGAAAATTAAGAATAGAAGAAAAAAAAACTTAACATTAGTAGAGAAAAATCTGTTTCTCTTTTTCTATTTCAGACATTGAACAGATATTTATTCTATTCTGACAAGTAGTACAATTGAACGCCACAGAATAACACCGTTCAACTTGTATGTTCAAAATCTTCTAATTTTTTGTTCTTCTTGTTACACACAAATACACACGTTCATTACATAGATATCATATTCCTAACCACATCGATCTTTCCTTTCTCTCTCTCTCTCTCTCTCTCTCTCTGTTGCTTTCTTCTCTCTTTTTTTTACTGTGTCGATATGGATGGCCAGCACAAAATATAGTTCGAAGCTAGTCAATGTTTAATAGCTGTATTATGGGCTAACATTCCTTTATTCTTTTCTTTTTCTCGCCTTAGGCCCATTTATATGTATGATGTGTATATGTTCAACTTCTTTTCAGAACAACACATTCCGATTAACAGAACAACGACGGTTATTCTTCTCTATACACAATCCTTATAGATGACACAATGACACAATTATTATTTTTACTTGTTTTTTTTTCTTTTTTTTAATTATACTTACTCTATTAAGTTTAATTGAAAATATTCTCGAATAACAGTTATAATGTGTTAATTATTTTTAAAAATTTATTATTATAAACGAAAAAAAGAATTCAAATAACATACACTTAAATATCTATCAGCTAGAACTAGAACCAAAAAGGATATGAGTGGTAAGTGAAAGATGGGATGATTATGTATTTAGTAAATCCATTTAAGCTAAACTTTTATTCGTCTCATCTTATAATTCTACATGTGTCATAGTTTGTTAAGAGATTATAACTTTTGTTTATTGATACAAAAAATCATTTACTAAATTCTCTTATAGTTGAAAAAAAAGTATACGATATTTGGAAAGAGAGTCTAGGCTACTTTGTTTCTTCTAGTTTCAAAACAACGATTATAGACATGCATGAGTTTAGATAAGAACAATTAATTAATGATAAAAACTTCTTATTGTTTCACTATTTCCTTCCTCTCTAATAACCATAAATTAAAGTTACTTCTTTCCGATCTATCTAATGTTGGAACAAAAAAGAAAAAAAAGAAGCGAGTATTCTCAGATAATTTGATTCTAATCTTTTTGTACTTGTAGTAAACACACACACACACATAGATTATAAGATATGGCTTCTGCCAAAATTGTCAAGCAACTTGTATGTTTAAGTTCATTGGTCAATGATCAACACGTAGACATTGTCTCTCTCTTTCTCTCTCTCTCTCATCGCCCTATAAAACACTTATCATTTTAATCTTTATAAATGAATCGATGAACGATGACCTGATGTCATCATTTTTTTTTTTCGTTTTTTAATTACTCATTAATAGTATTAACGTTAAGTCTCATTTTATGCTTTATATAGGTAGTATGTGTTTGAGTTTATAACAAATGTCTATCAACTATTTGAATGATTTTTCTAAAGTGTAATTATAATAATTGAATAAAATAGAAGAAAAAAAAAAAAAAAAACCGAGAAGAAAATCTTTTGTTTATATGTTTTTCTTCATCTTCTGATTACCTTTGGATTCGAAAGAGATACATAAAGCTATAGTCGTATATAGATTAAGAAAAAAAAAGAAGAAAAAACCGACATTGACCGGAGAACATTTTCCGTTTTTCAATTCATCAATATGTAGAGAAAAGAATAAAACAAGAAAAAAAAATAGTTTATAGCAATTGTACGCAATTATTGAGAGAAAGTTTTTCATATTATACATATATATATATATATATATATTTTTTTTTTTTTGTTACACAAATAAAAATAAAACAAAGTTCAACTTTTCAGACATCCACTATATTTCATTACTACCTATATATTTTCATCTATATATGAATAAGACTGAAAAAAATACAAAATGAACATGATCAAGTGAATATTTTGAAAATAACTAGAAACATGTCGAATAAACAGTCAGCCAACCGTAAATTTTAAGCTCTTTTTTTGTTTTTTTATCATGCTACATTATAATTCAATTCGAATCCTAATGGACTGACTCATTTATTAACAATTTCGAGAAATTTGTATGTAATGAAATGTAATGAAAATATAAGAGATATAATGATAGTTATTATTCTCTTTTTGTTTGTTTGTTTTAGAGAAATATCATTTGTAAAGAATTATGATTAAAATAGTTTTTTAAAAATTTTAATTTTATATAATCGTTCAACAGTATTCAATGATTAAAATAGATTTCATTTTACTAATCATTTTCAAAATGTCATCATCATATGATATAAGACGATTAAAATGAAAATCGAAAATATTGAATGAACAATTTTATTGTTAAATAATGTTTTTTTATTTTTATTTTAGATGTGTGTAATGAATCCGACAATATTATTTATATTAATGTTATTATCATCTAGGTAATTTTAATTTTATTCTCTTTATCATGATAATTCATTATTATTATCGTTCATTTTATTTTAATGTTTTATTATTTTATCTAATATCGTTTGTTCATAATCAACAACAACAACAATCAAAATTATGTCAAGAACAAAGTCAATGTGATTGTGAAGAGTCAAATGATGGTACATCAATTTCATTACAATGTGATCATTTTACATATGTTCCACCATTTTTAACTACAATTAAACATGAAAATATTCAAATTGATTCATGTACTGAATCAATTCGTATTGGTGATAAAACATTTGCCGATTTAACAATAAATACATTACGTTTTCGTTTATGTAATTTAACAGATTTAAATGATCAATCATTTTCTAAAATAAAATTATTAGAAAAATTTTCAATTGAAAATTCAACAATTAAACCACAATTTTCACAAACAATATTTAATGCTGATTCATTTCAAACATTAAAAAGTTTATCATTAAAAAATATTTATTATATGTATGATGGTATAAATAATAGAAAAAAATTAAATTTAAATTATTTATTAGAACAATTACCATTATTAATACGTTTAGAAGTACAAAATGTTGTATTAGATAATGAGCAATTATTATCATCATCATCAAATCATTTAACTGGACAAAATTTAAAACATTTAAGTTTAACAAATACAAAACAATCATCATTACAATTTGATAAATTTATTAATTTAGAAAAATTAATTATTATATCTAATCCTCAATTATTATTAAATTTATCAACAATAAATATATCAAATTTAAAACGTTTACAATATTTAGCATTAGAAAATAATCAATTAAAATTTGTACCAAATGATTTAAATTCAATAAGTTTACAAGAATTAGATTTAAGTTCTAATTTAATTGATAATATTAATGAATTTCAATTTGAACATTTAACACAATTAAAAATATTACATTTAAATAATAATCCTATTAAATATATTCATAAAAATGCATTTTGTTCATTAAATAAATTAGAACGTTTATATATTCATATTAAACATAAATTTATATCACCATTATCAAATTGTATTTTATTATATAAGCCAACATTACAAATTGAACAACAAATACATACACGTCCACAATGTGATTGTTCATTATTACAATTAATTGAATATTTAAAACAAAATGATGAATATATTAAAAAATATTTAAAACATGGTTGTACAATAACAAATGAAACAATGAAATATGTTAAAACATATCAACAACAACAATATTTACAACGATTAACAACACCTGTACCAATTGCTTTATTAGAAAAATATTTATATTGTAATGATGAACAAGATAAATGTGGTACACCATGTCAATATTCATTAAAAAAATTAACAACAATGGTAGATAATTATCATCCATTACATCATACACATTCACCAAAAAATCATTCTCAACATTTAACTCAACATAGAGAAAATATTGCGGGAAAATCTTATGCAATAAGATTAAATTTAAATAAGAATATATTAAATATTCTATATATTGCTGCTATCATTACTATTCTATTCAATTAAACATTTTTTTCATTGTTTATTTCGGTTTTTTTCTTCTTCTTCGTCTTTTTTTTTTATCATATTGTTGGCTTTTGTTTGTTTCTTTTCTTTTTTTATATACATACACGTACATACATACAGAAGTGATTGTTTGCGTGCATGTGTTTCACTCAGTGTTTTGTGTTTCAAACGAAAAAAAAAAAAGAAAAACGAAAGAAAAATATATTCAACAATGAATTAAATAAAAAATTTTTTTTTGAAAATTCAACAAAAATTTTAAACAATTTTTTCTTTATTTTCTATTCTAAATTTTACGTTTTTTTTCTTTTATTCTACTAAATCTTGATAAAATTTCAGTAAAATGACGATTTTATTCTTGATAAATTTATTTGAGCTAAAAATACTGAACATATATCAATTGATTCAATCAAATATATTTCTATTCTTATTGTTTCTCGTCAAAATATATAAAAATTTTCATATTTTATTTGATAATCTACGAGTGAATAACATCAAATGTTCGTCATTTTTCAAATTTTTATATTTTCTTCATCTCTCATGTATCGTACTTTTAGATTAGTCTCTCGAATCTGAAAATGACGAAGAATTTTTATAGATCTTATTGAGTTACACACACAGATATCTCTATAAATTGTTTGAACTAACGAATATATTTTCAGTTGAAATCTTATGAACAACAAAAATTTTCAAAAATTCTTCTCTTTCTCGTCGAAAAAAACAAAAAATGAATTAGTTCAAATAATTTATAGAGATATCTGTGTGTGTGTCTGTGTGACTCGCCATGATCTATATACAAATTCTTTATCAGAAAATTGTTTTTCAAATTCGAGAGATTAATCTAAAAACAAGGTACATGAGAGATGAAGCAAATATCAAATTTATAATCATAATATCATCACAAAAAAATTCCATTTATTCAAAAAAAATTTTCTCATACGACAGAAAGATCATTTTATTAATTTTTGTTTTGTTTATCTTTAATATATGACACTTTTCTGTTCAATACTTGACTCATTGATCCATATGTATATATATATATTCAATCACTGAATAAGATCTATCTCACATTTGTATTTCAAGTGCTATGGACACAATTAAATGACGACATTTCTTCTATTTAAATCTTTATATCTGCAAATAGCGTAATATAAGAGTGTATAAACATTTATTTATTTTTTTCGTGAATAATATATAAGTAGACGTCAAAAAACAAATAAAAAATCGTCTGCCTATATTGTATACTTATTTGTTCGCTTCAATAATAACATATAAATAAAAGACTATTATATGAGTTGTTGTTGTTTTCAAGTTTAACTTGTCATGATAGATTTCAATTAAAAAACATTAAAAAATGAAAGATACTACGTGTTAATGTATGACTTTAATAGAAACGAAAATATGTATCCAGTGTCCAGGATTAAACGAGTCTCTATTCATTTTCATTATAATTCGTTTTTGCTCCGTTTCCCAATCTTAATTTTCTTTTCAAAAGATGCGCTTTGAGAGTTGTTCTACAAAAAAAAAGTATATACTGAAGAATGATGAGGAAAATACTGTGAAGTTTCAATCTTCATTACATTGTAATCCGAAAAATAGTTTTTTCAGTTTTAGGTCTTTATATGTTGGAACATAAAAAAGATAGCCATTTTGTAGCCCTTCAAAAGCTCTATCAATTGGCTATATTTAAAAAACTTTTATAAAATCACAAGCGATTGAGAGAGAATCGTTTTCCTTCTGTTTTTTTCGATTTTGCCCAAAATCATCATTTTCAAACTGCACTTTTGGGCACTTACGAAAATTTTTATAAATCAGTCAGAATGAAATATTTATAAAATATAATATAAATATTATATTCGAATAGAGAAATTTCAACAACTCCGTTTCTTTTCCATTGTCAAATCGAGATAAGTTAAATTTTCACCTTTTTTGGATCGTGTTCAAAATAAGCTTGTCTTTTGTCATTTTTTAGATTACAAACTAAATGGAGATTGAAGCTTCACTATATTTTCTCCGTGGTTGTTTTTTATTTTTAAGGTTTACAGAAATATGTTCCGTATGTTTTTTTTGTAGAGTAGCTCACAAAGCGTATCTTTTGATAAGAAAATTAAGATTGAAAAACGTAACAAAAACGAGTTATAATGAAACTAAACAGTGGTTCATTTAATTCTGAACGCTCAATACAATTGTTAGTTTGTTAATTGAATAAATAATTTCTTACCGGTGATAGTTCATTGCCACCAAGTACATTGACTTTAGCAGATTTTGTCAAACCACAAAAGATGACTTTCCTAAAAAATGATCTCAAATATATTAGACAGATATATGATGTAACATTTCAATTTCTTCTTTCGTCACGGTTAATGCTGTCTTCTCTTTCATTAATTTAAAATGTTTACTAAATTTTTTGTAGACCTGATCTGCAACTATTCACTTTGAACAATATGCTATTTGACCTATGATATTGCCATGTGGACATTGCTTAAAATTTCTTGACACACATATATATATATATGTATATATCAACACTTACCAGTCTGTAATACTTGAAAAAAAGTATCGACCTTGAATATCTGAACTTGACGAATCAACATCAAAAAATAAATCATTGTAAATTAATATTTTTGAGGTATTTTTATGCTAAAATAATTAATATGGTAAAAAAAAGATGACTATACTAATTATTTATTTTATTCACACTTTTTCATATGTAGCCGATAATAAATAGAAATTTTCTTCATTATTATCTAAATTATTTTCCGTATCATCAATATCAGAATTACAATAACCAAATAAAAATGTTTTTGCTGATAACCATAGTATATTCACACCTAGAACATACATAGACGAATTATACAAGATTTATGCTTCACTATTATTATTTAATTTACATATTGCTGATGAATTTGGATTTGCTGTTGGATATGCATTTCCCAATTTCATATTAGTCTCATATAATTGAATTGAACCATCATAATTTGCCACCACCAAATGTTTACCTTTTGGACTCCAACAAACTATTTATAAACATAAAATAAAAATAAAAATATAATAATTAGATCTTACTTTATACTTACGACATGCATTATCTTCATTTTGTTCAGATTTTCCAGAATTTTTAATAGTTTTTATATTTGTATCATATTCATATGTATACACACTTCCACTACCGTCCATAAGAGCAAATAAATTATTAATAACTGGATTCCATGCTAAACTATGAATAGTACCCCCTACACTATCACTAAAACTCATTGAACATAATGTTGAATTATCTATCTATAATGAAAAAGTCAAATATTATCTCCTAATAATTGCAAATAATTTATTACAAACCATTTGAATAAGTTTAATAACATCGTATAAAATAATCATCCAATTATTTTCATCAGATAATAGAACAGATAGAATTGTTTCATCTGAATTTAATGCTAACCATATGGGTACATATGAATTGTTTGTAGACATAAATGGAGCATAATATATATCATTTTCATCTGAAACATTATCATTATTAGCCGTATCATCAGCATCGACAGTTTCTTCTAATGTCTTTGTCAAATGTTTTGAATTTTTATCGATATAAGAGGATGGTAAAATAGCAAGCCCTAAAATACGTAATATATAGCACAATAAATGAGAATTTCAAACAAATTTGTTTACCTTTGTTTTGTGTCGCATAGAAGACATGACCGTATCTGTTTGATGATACTAACAAATTAATTGACTGAGATGTGTCATAGTATTGTTTTCCAGCTACAGTAAATGAATGGCCAGCTTTAAAACTTGCGACATTATCCTACAAATAATAATGAACTATTAAATAGAAAAGTGCGATTCTATTTGGATATCTTAAAAAATTTTGAAAGTATTTTTTTAATAGTGAGTTTAAAATTTGCATAGATGTAGCCAATGTCCTAAGTGAGAGATAAAATGAAATATAAGAAATTGAAATAGAATAGTGATCTTTCGAAGTACATGTCTTTAGTATTCTAAAACTGGATGTTAATCATTAAAAAGCTATCGTTGTCAAGAGAACACTGTGCTTACCATTTCTTTTTCTTGGGCTTCTTCCATTGTTATTTTAATTTAAGCGCAATAGAACTAGTAAAGAAATATCAATATTTATGGATTAAAACAAGTATTAAAATCTAAAAATATTGAAATCTGAACAGAAAGCTTGCTAACATTGACCGTAAAAATAGTATAACTGTCAATTCTTTGTTTAAGAGTACCTACCTATTGCATCATTTTGTTCTTACATATCTTTAGTACAGTCACTTTGCATTAGAATAGCATTGATTAAATGAAACAAAATCTAAGACCGTGGAGAGTATAATGAGTATCATTGTAAACATTTGTAGGATCAATAAAACTAAATTCGTTTGAGAAATGTTCTCTTTCTTAAGTCAAATAACCATGTTATAGTAAATTAAGAATAAAAACAAGTTCCAAATCTTTCTCAATTAGAACATTTGTTGAAGTCAAAAAAACAAACAAAATTGTTATGATTTGTTCGTTTGTTCGATTATTAAATACAAATTGAATATGTTGTTTATTGTCTTGCAACGATCAATATAATGTTTATTTTTGTTCAGGAATAAAAAGAAAAATAATAGCCACATCGACAACAACAACAATAAGAAAAAGAAGAATAGTAGAGAGCGCACTCTGCATACATATTCGACTACACACAAATTAAAACACAAGCAAATGACGCATAAAAAAAAGAGAGATAACATAAAAAAATCATTCACAAAAAATGTAAAATTAACATCATCAAAGATTGACAAAAAGAGATGCGTGCATCATTCAAAATGAGATATTAGTTTTTCATTATTTTTCTTTGTCAATATGTATATGAAATAATGCAAAAAAAACATGAGATAAGAACAATAAAGAAAGCCGAAATAAGAATAGAATAAGTAAAAATAGAGCATAGACGAAATACAAACCAAAAATGAGAAAAAGGCTTTGTTCAAGAATCACTGCTTGTTCATGATGTTGGTACAGTAAGAGTCATTGTTGGTTGCTGAAGAGTAGGACACTTTCCAAATGTTTGTCTTTGTTGTTGTCCAGTACTGGTACCACCGACTTTTGCTTCATAATGTAATATAATATCTTGATCATACGGACAGGATTCTAAAATCAGGTGAAAATAAAATTAATGAGATCAGTATTTAAACCAGAGCGTGTTTTTCTTAAGAGTCACTAGTTTTGTGATCCTCATCGGGTTTTGTTTGTGAGACGTTTTCAGGACCTGCTGCTCTTTGTGCGGTAAGATGTATCCCTAGGAACTGAGAACCAACTCCTGTTTTGTTATCGAGCTAGTCTCCTGTTAAAAAGACATTAAACAATCTGAATCTGAGCTAAAGATCAATAAAAGTCTGTTATGACACGTAAAACTACGTTTCTCGTGTTTTCATCAAGCAGAAGAACAATTAATCATCCAACAACTGAAGGATAAAAGATCAAAATTGCAATGCTATGTACAACTCGTATGGATGGTCCGGGTGTAGGAAAGTGCCCGATAAATTACATACAAGAAGAAAGCTCACGGAGTGACAGTGTGCTTAGACAAGTCAACAACAGAAGTGTTGCAGATTTCTGGCTTACTTCAGGAAGCAGTCAACTCCAGATTTTGATGATCCAACCAGGTAGAAAGACGAATGCGCGAACATGCGATCTGAAAGCTCAGGTGCTAGTCACAACAACAGCAGTGAGCACACAATCTGGTGCAATTTAAAAGAAAAAATCGTTAAGTTATTAAACAAGGATACCACTATTAGGTACGAATTCCAGAGTGCGAAGGACTGTTCAAACCAAAAGTTATTAGTGGTCATGTTAAGTCATGCGCCACGAAATGGTACAAAGATAATGGCTTCTGGTTTGGTGATCATGGAATATTAATGGCGATTGAATCGTCAGTGAAGAACTGTAATATGTAATTGCACTCCCAGAGTGTCCTTTGCATTGTTTCTTCCTCCCTCTCTGGTTTTGTTTTGTCTTTCTCATCCATTTTTCTATAACTCCTATCTCTGATCTTCTTCATATACCACTATCAGTGCGTGCCACTTCGACACATTTTTGACATACCCTGAAATGCTTTTGTCTGATAACATCGTTCTATATAAGACCATAATGATTGTAATTCAAGAGGAATGTCTAAATTTTTGTAATATTTTCCAGCAATACGAATATGTTGTAATTTCGGCATTACATCACAATCGATATTTGTCATCTCATCACCACTTAGAAATTGTGTACCCGATTCCGATAAATAATCATTAATACGTTTTAATTCCGAATATAATGATTTTAATTTCATCTGTTCTTGAGGATCAGTTGGGATTGATTTTAAATAGGGATGAAATTTAATATAGACGTTTGAACAAACGTCTTCGGCTTCTTTTAATGAGCTCAAATTAACAACTGGAAAACGCTTTGATATTTCAGCATCAATATCACGATTATCGGTTAGTACGACTTGTTGATTTTTATCATCTTGACCATTTTGTCCTGTTTCATTAAATACAACAACAGGTGGATTAGAATTATATGCTTTTTTAAATTCTTGCTCAGGATTTTTCATATTCACTGGATATACTGTTAATGCTAATTCTTTTGCTTCGGATTTTAAGTAAAGTACCATGAACCATCTCTAGTAAATACATATTAAGGGAAAAGACGGTGAGTAAAAGATAAATGGCTCGTTTCGAGAAACGTACCTGACAAATTGGACAAGGAGTTCGATGTGAAAAATCGATTTCTGATCTTTTTACATATAATGACACGTATGGTACGTCACTCATTATTGATTAATGAAAACCGTAGGAATGACCTACGAATTATATTCTGTTCAACGATCTAAAACAGAGGAAAGAGAAATATATGATCTTACTCAACAGCAGAACTAAAAATGTTAGAGATGTGAAAGTAAAAGTGTGTGCACTGGTATTTTCTTCTTGCAAAACAAAAGATAAATTGAGCACAATAGATTAAGAATATAAAACAAATTCAAAATATTTGGAATACCCATTACTAAACATCTTTATATTTTATCTCAAAACACAAAAACAATCAAACTTGCACGCTCTACTCATTATTTTGATTCATAATACAGAAAGTAATTAATCCATCCATCACTTAGTGTCATAAGTAGGCATGCATGTAAAAAGAACCGAAGAACACAAAATGCTCGTCTACTTTCTGATTTGTACAGCGTGAGCTTTCTCTCTCCAAGTATCGCTAATAGAATATAAAATTCACTTTATCTGATGGCATTCTGAGGAAAAAAATATCAAAATCTTTGTTGATTTAGGTGTAAAAGCAGAAACAAAATACTTCCGATATGAATTATAATTAGGTGTGCATTCCTTATTCATGAAAAAATCATTAATCCGAAAGAAATATCATGCGTGGTGCGGAAAAATCTTTAACTGCGACCATCCTCAATAGCAGCGAAATCAGTTAGTCTGAAGCGCTTAACAAGTTTGAAAAATATTTGTTTGATGTATAAGAAAAAGCTGAAAGGTCTAACAATAATAGTCTAATAAATAGATTAAGCTCATCGTATAACAATTGTCTGAGAAAGTCTCAATTGGGCCTATTGTTTTCTCTTACCTGCACAGTCTGCCTATAGTATTTTACACGAGCAGAACGTTAATATTTCTCTCTTACTCTCTATGCGGTTTTTTCTGTTCTTCAAAAAAAAAAGAACAAAAATAGAATACTTTGTTTTATTGAACTATAGCCAAGTCGAATGCAATGGAGAGAAAAGAAAATACAGACGACAGAGTATATATACATAAAAAATAGTAAATAAAGATGTATTTTCGTATTTTCTCTTTAACTTTCAAATTTGACTGTAACGCAAGCGTTAATGTGTTTTTGTCCTATTTTTCTTCAAGCGAATGAAAACATATATATTTTTATACTGTTCAACATACCAAAGAAAGAGATGAAGAGAAAAAAAGCACGTCGATAGATTTTAATTAATTGACTACCAAAACAAAAGAAATAAGCAGATTTAAAACGAAGTTGCGCAATAATGTGTAAACGGTAGTCAACTTTTTCCCTATAAAGTAACTCACACATAAAGCTCTCTGTAAACAAAACTTGTTATTTGTTATTGACTCTCTTATACGGGATCTAAATTCTCTAAAATATAAATAAAAAAATAGGTTCTGTTTTTGGTTTCAGAATTAAAATACTATCTTCATGCATCGATGAAATTGCCCATTGTCACGTTCACTACCAAGACGTGGAATAAAGAAAACGGAATACTAAAAAAGAAAATATTTTCCATTTGTGACACCATTGCTCTAATACTAAATCTTTTATCCACAAACTTTATCAAAAAAACCCTTTTCGTCATCATAGTATTAAAATCCGTCACTAAACATTTTCATATCGACTAAGGAATGATAGTGTAAACGGAGTTTATATCATTTTGAACGTGACCGATAGAACAATGATGTCAGCAATTTGACGATTGTACATCGATGACTTGCAAAACGATAACTTACAGCTGACGATTCACCCTCAAGTCTACAGAGGGTACTCCCTCAAAGCGATGCAGTGGGTGTATAGGAAAGTATAATCATATCCAAGTTAAAATACTGCAATTCAAACTACCAAAAACTGTAATCATGAGTCTTAGTCATTTTTTTAATGAGATCGGTCCGCACACATAAAACTACTGACTCCTTCAGAACAAGTGTCGACAGCGTTTTCGAAACGAGTTTTGCGAAGGAGGCGGGCGTAACGCACCGGAAACTGCGATGTCTGTAACAATAACATCTAATATTTTAAGCTTAGCGTAACTGGAGATCTGCATCAGGTAGACATATCCATATACATTTACTCATTTTGGTCATTTGTTCATAGGTATGGTTAGCTAAGGACTCAGAAAAAAGTTTTTCACATTGTTTACTTCAAAAACGAAGGGCAGAAACTATGAAGAAACTGATGTGGGCACATCAAAAAGTAGTACTTGGTACCAAGAACAGTCAGGACCTTTGTATTACATTTAATAACATACCTTTTATGCCTGACGAAAAAGTGCTACAGAGATGATCGTTCATGGACAAAAACGTAAAAATGGATGAAAAAAATTCAAGCAAAACAACCGATATTGTCGATTTTTTAATACCTGCAGCACAATGTGGCGCAAGTGAAAATTGCGCATACGCGCACTACGATCACAGACATGAGCGTAAAATTGGTCCTATTTTGTTATTATCATTCGTGTGAGACTGAAATTTCAACACGCGTTTAAATTTTAGGCATCCATTATAAACTCATGTGTGTCTTGAAAAATAATAGTTAGTAGAGTTTACGTAGAAGGAAAAAGAGTTTCAGTACTTTAATTTTTACGTCGCAACTCATCACTGTTCCGTTAATGAAGCGTAAATTTATAAAAAAAGATGCGAAATAAAATAGATGTCTCTCTTATACATTAACGTACTTGTTTGTGATGTTCTGTATTTACACAAATCGTTTCACTAATATACCATTGAATTGTACAACTGTTTTTAATTTTGCAGTTAATTACGTCATTGTAGAACTGTTTCTGCGATCGTGGATAAAATCAGGAATGTAAAATTCAGGGGAAATTAGAAAGAAAGTGCAATACTTCCCTGATTCTTTAAGAAATTCATTTTTTTAAGAAAAAATCTCAGCTCTCCTGCTTTTTAATTATGTCGCTGTCTGAGAGTACTTCCGCTGAGTTACACATAATCTTTTTAGATTCATATGGTAGGTAGGACTTAGTTGCCATGATCAGAGACATAGGCTTATATATATATATATTAAGAGGCTTAATATTAATTCTACGGATATTCTAGAATAAAAGAACTTTGTTCATACGAGGAAACGTTAATATTATAATTTTCATAACGTAGTAATAGTAAATGACGTGTGAGCAAATGATTTTCTCAATCCATATCACCGGATCGAAAAATTTTAAAAGCTTGTTCTGTCAAAACCGATTGCAGATTCGTCTTCTCCATGGTTGATTATGTGTCACACAATAACTTTTGGATTGGGATACTTTAGAAAAAAAAATTCCCATGGTCTTGCTCAAAAATTTTTCACAGAGTTACCGTACGGGACCAAAGGCAAAACGATGTCGTAAAATTTTTCTAAAGTACCCCGATCCAGAAGTCATCGCGTACCACATAATCAACCATGGAGAAGACGAATCTGCAGTCGGTTTTGACCGGACAAGCTTTTAAAATTTTTCGATCGGTGATATGCAAAACGAAAAAGTTGTGCGAGTATCAATTCGACCCAGAATTATGCAAACGATAAAACGAGCGAGTGTAGCCCTAGTGGATGTACTTGGTACAAGTGCTTGATTACTTGATGAGTACTTGAGAAGTACGTGACAAGTTAAACACTTAGCAGGTACTTGATCAAGAACTTTCCAAGTGTCGTTACTTGACTTGCTTCAGCCATGCACTCTTTTGCATTGACCACTTGTATTGTATATAAACAAGTTATACAGTTATAAAATAACTTACATATTTCTACTGAGTTGAACAAAACTTAGTAGCTGTGCATGTATTTGCTGTAGAAAAGTAGAGTATAGCTCCAGAATATGTATAAAATACAAAATAATAATAAATAGAACAAGTATTCGACTGAACTTTTGCAAGTAAATTTACTTGCTTTGTGTTAGCCAAGTATTTATATTTTACTTGTCAAGTACTTGAGAAAGTAGTTGACACGTAAATTTACTTGGAAAAGTCCACAGGTACTGTCCTCATTACTTGACCCAAGTACTTGTGTAAATACTTAGCTCAAGTACATTCACTAGGGGGTTTGCAAGCATCTGATTAATTTTGAATAATCAGCGAGGAGTTGATAATAAAGACTCCATTTGTTTTGTGGTTCTCAGATGAGCTTAGACAACTGTTAAGGAAGAAAAATCGAGAATACCAAAGGTATAATAAGGACAAGAGTAGTTCTACGTATCAAAGTTATACAACAGTAGCCCAAGAATTCCAGAACTTAGCACAACAGTCTAAACAAGAGTATCTAGACAAAATCAACAAAATCGCAGCCAATAGAAAAGATTGGTGGCAAGCTTTAAATTTTTCTCTAGGCAGAAGGAAAAGGTGTACAATTCCCTCTCTCAAAAACACATCTGGAATTCTCGTTCAAGATGATATTGCTAAAGCGGAACTTTTGAACTCTTATTTCGCATCAATAAACTATATTTCTTCTACTGATGATGCAAAACCTACTCCTAGTACCAACAGAGTACCAAATGTTCCTCAACTACCAAATCTCAAGGTCACTCGTCGAAAAAATCTTGTTGAAAACTAATGCGCAGAAGGCATGCTCGCCAGGAGCCACATCAAGTTTGTTAAAGGAGTCTGCAATTATTATTGCGCTTACAGTAGTTAAAATGGTTCAATTCTCATTAGATACCGGAGTTTTTCCTAGTTCTTTTAAAACTGGTTACGTAAATGCATTGTACAAGGACGGAGAATCAACGTCTCCTTCAAACTATCGACCTATCACGCTGTTACCTGCGCTTGGTAAAGTTTTCGAAAGAGTAGTACATTTTCATCTTTACAAACACTTAAAGAAAAATAATCTTCTCTCTCCGTTACAATCAGGATTTATTAGGAATGATTCCACAATAAACCAGCTAGTGGACCTAGTTCAATCAATTTATTTAGAAGCAGAACAATCTAAAGTGACTAAGGCAGTGTTTTTAGACTTTTCGAAAGCGTTTGACGGAGTTTGGATAAAAGGTCTGTTAACAAGATTAGAAAGTAAGAGGGTTAGAGGTGCAATGTTAGAGTGGTTTAAGAGCTACCTCAACGATAGGAAGATTATTACAGTAGTAAATGGTAAACAATCAAGCTCGAGATCTATTAACAGAGGTGTTCCACAGGGAAGCGTCTTGGGACCTTTACTATTTCTAGTTTATATCGATGATATCACAAATGAGCTCACTTCAACTTGTAGGCTTTTTGCAGATGATACCTTACTTTATCACTCTTCAACAAGTCCACGTTTTTTAACAAAAATTTTGAATGAAGATTTAAAGAAAGTAAATCAGTGGGCTCAAAATTGGCAGTTACCTCTAAACGAACGGAAATGTGTGACGATGACCTTTATGAGAAAATCAATTCTTTTCACATCAGCCCTAAAACTAAATGATATAGATCTAATAGAAGTTAAAGAACATAAACATTTAGGAATGTTTTTGACGCCTACTCTAGAGTGGCAACCACATTGTGACTACGTAGTCAGGAAGTGTAATAAGATATTATTTTTAATGCGAAAATTTAAACTTCTCTTTAGCACTAGTACTCTGCAATAGATCTACCAATCTTTAGTTTCATCGATCATTCTTTACGGTTGCGAAGTTTATTCCGGCACTACAAATGAAAACATAGCAAAAATAGAGCAGTTTCAGTACGAGCCAGCTAAGGTAGTTAGTAGCGCCTTACATCTGACTAGTAAAGATAAATTACTTAAAGTTTTAGAATGGCTGCCATTTAGTGAGGGATTTAAAAATCGAAACGTGAGTCTCATACAAAAATTGTGATAGGAAAAACACCCGAATTTCTGCAAAATCGTGTCGCATTTATGCAAAATAATCGGAATGATTTGAGGTCTCAGAATCGGAATGTATTTTTAATTCAGGAAAATGTGTCAACAAAACGCCAACTCAGCAAACAAACTCGATCGTATGATCTTTCCTTCTTTCCCTTTACCATAAGGTTATGGAATCAATTCGATATAAAACTGCGAATGGCCAGTTCTATGAGAAAATTCAAAAAGCTATGGGATGAGTTAAAAGTTATACCTGAGAAATAACCAATAGTGAAAGATGTAAATAGAAGAGCAGATATTGTTTTTCGCGAGATACGAGCGGGTCTTTCTATACTCGAACATGATTTATACTGTAGAGAAATCGATAAAACACCAAACTCACAGTTCTGCTCATGCTCTCATTTGGAAATAGTAGAACACTTCTTTCTGCATTATCCAGACTGCACTACTGCTCGTACAAAATTATTTGATACATTACATGAGTGTGATCCTGATCTAAATATAGATATGAATATCCTTCTGCTATCTTCTCCTTCTCATCTCTCCAACTTTGAACAATATGTAAAAGTTTACAAAGCGATAACTATCTATATATGTGAAACTAAACGTTTTGTAACAAATTAAACAAGTTTTTATATGCTAAGCTATGTTTTTTCTAAAGTCTGTGCTATATTCTACTGAAACCCCACGTGTTTTTCTACTCGTAAAATTTTCTGTGATTCTAAAACAATCAGTCTGTCCATTTATTTTAATGCTTACTTTACTAACTTATTCATTTATTTTTCGATGCTATTTTCTTTCTATATTGCGAGCCTCGTGTTCACTATATAATGGCAATGCCGAATTAGTAACACTAGCGCTCTTTACTTTATATTATTTCAAATAAAATAGCTTAAACCAACTTTGTCACTCGTCTCTTCTTCTGTGATAAAAGAGTATGAGTGGTTTAGACAGATATACTTTTCATCTGCAACCACGACATCCGAGATACTACAGAGACGTTGCTCACATCCCATCCTCTGAGTTTCACGATGACATAAGCGTTGACTGCGGTAACATATCTACATGTCAAAGGTCACTTCATATCATGGTAGTACAACAGCGGATTCAAAAATGTTTGCAGCTGGTAAACGTGTAAAGGTTTTGAAGTGGATGCGGTCATATGGAGAAATCTTGCTGTCTAGAGAGGAAAACTTTTCTTTCCTCTTTCTCGTTTTCCCGCAGTTCACGGCAGCTTGATTTGAACAGAGATGTTTTAAACGTGGTTGTCGTGTGATGCGTACAGATAAACATTTTCAGCAACATGTATTCAAACTCGCCCCCGGAACAGACGCTCATAACTGAGGGCTTTATTTGAGAATGCCAAGCTTTTACTTAATCGACATATTCTAAATTTAATTTTAGGTTTTCTAGATAATAATAATGGTATAAACTTATGACAGTCTTACTAGATTAATGAGTAGCGGAACATTTATATCTTAGATCTAATTAAATATTCCAAATTAGTTTATACAAACGAAAAAATACATGGCCAACGATGAATCCTCCGATTGGACCAGCAACATAAATCCATGAGTAATACGAAAATGTTTGTGATGCTACTGCCGGACCTAACCATCTCCATGGATTCAAAGCAGCACCATCACGATCTGCTCCGACCAGAAACGATGAAAATACGGTGAGTCCAATAGCTACGGCTGCTTCTTTATGTGAATTGTATGAAGTTGTGAAGAATATGATGAATGATAAAAATATGGTACAAAAAAATTCAATAAAAAATGCTTGTAATACCGTCACATCGTAACCTGACGCGCCGTGATTTAAAGCTGGCGTACCTAATCTTTTTGTTGTGCTGTTGTTATTTCCATATAATAATAGAAGCATATAGCCAGCAATGACGGCACCAACACCTTGAGCTAGAAGATATCCAATGATTTCACGTTTTTTCATTTTACCATTTATAGCAAACGCTATCGTAGCACCAGCATTGAAATGACCACCAGATACTGGCCCCAAAACATAGACTAACCATATAGTAACAAGTCCATGTGCAGTTGCTGCTGTTAACAAATCTGGACTTTTTGCTGCACAACCCGCTCCAAAAAAGACGAATATAAGTGTACCTAATAATTCGCATATCAATTTTGCTTTCAATGATGGAGGCATTTTATAACCATTTGTAACTCGTTTGTTAAGCACCACCCGCTCATCTTCATGCTCAGAGAATTGTAGATTAATGCTTGAGCCGCCGTAATCATGACCGAATCGAATTAACGGTTCACTTGACATTCTACAGCACCAAAAATAGAATTGGTTGACAAGGAACGGTCCCCGAGTGCCACCTTAGATTTTCCTTGAAGCATACTTGATTATGGATAATTTTTGATGCTGATCATGAATCTGATATCTGTTCATCCCCATATGGTCTTTTAGAACCTTTGTTCAAATTCAGTGTTTTCAGAAATGTATAGTGAACTTTCGTCGAAATAAATTCTGATAGTGCCAGATTGGACAAGTTTCACTTAGTTATAAAACTTCAGTGTTTTATCCAGCCAAAATAAGGATCATTGAGGTATTTTTCCCATACAAACCCTATAAGTCAATGAAAACCTGTCCTTTATTTCTAAAAACTTGTCCACAGGGGGAACTTGATATTCTCTACAATCTGGCACTATGAGAACTTATTGAGACGAAAGTTCACTATAGGTTTCGGAAGACACTGAATTTGAGCAAAGGTTCTGAAAGACCGTATGGGGATGAACGGATATCAGATCCGTGATCAGCATCAAAAATTACCCATAATCAAGGATGTTTCAAGGAAAATGCACGTTTCAAGGTGTCACTCGGTGACCTTTCCTCGTGAGCAAAAACAAATAGAAAAGTTGTTTTATGCTATTATATTCGCTTGTGATGTCAGTTGCTTTTCGAATAACCTTGATTTCGAAAGTCTTCCAGAGATTTTTACAGTTTACAACTCTAAGATTTGATTCAACTACTTTATCTGTACAAATTTGTTTCCTGAAATTCCGGTAAGAACTCCATTTTCTAATGTACGTACTTATAGTCGTCTAAGATATGGTCACAAAAAGTGTTATAGCAAAGACGTACATGTTTTAAGCAAATAAAAAATATAATGTTATCATATAAGTAAAATAACGTGGTCAACGGAAGAAAAAAAGTTTGTTCTGTCATCACTACAAATAGAGGGAATGAACAGATCACTCTTGAGTTTCACTTAAGCACTAGCTCACTTCCAAATATAGATATTTAGTTCATTATTTAGCTTATATAAAATACCACTACAAGGTGGTATTCCTGAAGTTACGGATGAAAGGCACACGTGAAAAAAATTCCATTGAATACTTTGTATGTCGGTTTATATTTATTTTTGTGAAACTCCTCCGTGACTGTTCTATGAGAAATACAGGATGGAAGTTTATAGTTTAAAATTAAGCACTCCTTTTTACCTCGCCCCTTTCGAGCGGATATTGCATACAAAATCTATTTAAAGGGAACACAGGATATCTTATATTCCATGTAGAACGTTTCTTGGTGTTTATTGATTTATTTTGTGCAATAATTTTGTCTGTATTAGATTTTGAAGGAGTTTCACATTCTTAGCCGTATTTAGGCTACATCTACGAAAAGATATGCGGAGAATTTTATTATTTTGAAATTTCTTGTGAACTTCGTTGTTTATTCAAAATATTTCCTTCTTCGAAATCTTACTAGATCTTACTAAGATTATACAGTCTAAGATTTTTTCAGAATTGGATAAGAATTTGTTAGGATCTTAATAGTAAGAACGACGACGTTTTTTAAATAATATCCATTAGTGACATGCTGAAAAATTTTCAATTTTTAATCCGCATTATCCAAAGCAGCAGTTGAATAGTGTTGAAAAATGACGATAAATTTCATATTTTCGGATGTCCAACCATGGACCTTGACCCACATGTAAACTCTCTAAAGAATTATTGAACACTTTCGAGAGAGCAAGTACTAGCAGAATCTGAAAGAAAAATAACCATAAAATCACTCATATTTTCGGTATTACTTATATAGATGAATGAAAGCAAAAACAAAGAGGTGAATGACAGTAGAGTCATTAAGGCCCCCCCCCTCAGAAATTATCTCCGACACCGGGCATCCGATCGTGACGCAACTTTCCATAAATGTTCGGTACAATGAGTTACGGGAATGAA